ATTCTTGTGTTTATAAATTTAATTAGGAGCCATTTTAACTTCTAATACGAATGAATTAATTGTATTTATTTACAAATACATGATCATACTTTGGTGAGATTCATCTGTGGTAAAATACGCAATATATTTGTCTATAATTGATTTTTGAATTTACATTTTACTACTTCTTTGGCAAATCATATTTTTTTAGCAAAAGTTGGTAGGTATCTTAACCCATTAACCCCCAAACAAAGAAAAGGTGGATTACAAATGAAAAACGCAAGAAAAAAGTGATAGCATCTATTTGTGTATACGAAGTGACTGTGTGCTGTTGCATATAACTTTAGCTTTAGAAAAGTACTGCATCTTGATTTCAGTTTAAAATAGAAATATTTGCATTGTTATAGTAATAAACAAATATCCTTTTCTTTTTCTTGTTTGTTTTCGAAGAAAATAATTAAAGAAAAAAGGATTCGTTTTTTTTTGTTTTGTTGCAAGGCACATTTGAGTAGTTTACGTGTGATCATTTCTGAGATTTTTTCTTCTTCGAAGTTGAAATTGAGGGGTAATGCAATGCAAGAATATACGCGACTCGATAACAGACTTTGCATGGTGGGGGAAAAAAAAGCAATAACAATTTTATTGATTATAATGTTGAGACCTGCCAACATATCTGGCTTTTTACAAGCGATTTTTTTTATCAATTTTTAAAAGTGATTATAAAATTCAAGTTAGAATATTCCATTTTAAATGAGAAGAAAATAAATACTCGATTAACGTACTGTAATTTTGTTGAAAGCTGGAAAATTAAAAAATTTCCGTTCATTTAACTATCACACTATTGTGTAAGGCTAATACCACCAATATAAATATTGAGAGAGGCGTGGTGGCTCTGGGAATAGATCGTTCGTCTTCCAATCAGGTCATCTGGGTTTGAATCCCAGCGATGGCTGGTCGACACGAATTCCTCACACCGATCATATTGCTGACTAAAATATCCTTAGGAGTGGACGGAACATGAATTAGAGTTCCCTTACCATCAAGCTACAAGTGGAATGTTTTCGAGGTCTTCCTATCCATGTAACGGAAATGTTGATTAGTTCCATCAAAAAGTTCTCCACGAAGCCAGAATTTCTCCCAATATTTGAACCAGAAGCTCCCTCGTCTTCGAGATCGGGTTCAAACTTATAAGATTACGGAGTTGAACATTGGTAGTCGCAAATTAGACTGGCTGTTCAACGACGGTTATAAAATATAAAGTAAAATAAAATAAATAATAAGGGGAGCTAGAAATTCTGGGTTATAAGTTTCGTAGGTTGTGAATTATTATTAGATTTCAATCTTTACTCTTAATTTCTAAATCCGCTATTTTTCTTCGATGTTAATGAATTTGGAAAATATTTAATATTCCTAGTCCTAGTGTTTCGATTTTATTGGGCACCTGGGTCGAAAAGCGACCCCTATCCCATTCATCTAGAATTTTAACACTGTTTTGGTTGAGCATTGAGGTAAGCAGGAAGTGTAGTTGCATTTATGAATGTTTCAAGCACTTTGCTTGAATAACTAAAAAGGAATCAAAAAATAAAATGAGCAGCTTGCTCTATAGTTATGTTTGTTTGATTTTTGAGTTGCTCAGAATTGTATCAGCATGAGGAAACGTTATTTTCAGAAAGGTTGATGAAATTATTTGCTGTGATAGTTTTGATATGAGGCGTCGGAGGTGAAATGTGCAGCTATTGGTTTGCAGAAATATTTAGTATTGTAGGCATGCTAATTACTCCACCTCTGAAAAGGTTTTTAGAAAGTGGTAGACTGCTAAAAACTAAAACTAGCAGTTTGTCAACGTTTATCAAAGATAACCATGAAATAGTATGAATAAAATTATATTTTTATGTGAATTGTTGGAAGTAATGGACAAAATAACTTTAACTCAACTTTTCTAACACTAAGTTATAATCAGAAATACGTTTTCTACAAAGTAAGTTGGAATCTCAAAAAGTGTATAGATTTACACTATATAAACAAGAATATGCTTAAAATGTTTTGTTATTTATAAAATTTTACATCACATTTTAATTATTTTAACCCTTTGCACTTGATGTCCATTCAGCTGTTAAAAAAAACAGACGCAGCCTCTAAAAATTTACCAGACAAAACTCATTGTTAACGCACGTAGCAAATGCATAACTGCCAATTTGCTCTGATTTATCAGAATATTTGTATTTAAATATTTGAAGGTGTAATAAATTTTATTATTTAAAATGTTATTATTGATTTAATAAATTTAATTTAGAATGATTTTTTCCACCACTTCATACAAACAGTTTAAACATGGATATAAAACGTTTTAACTACATATCAAACGTTTAAACATGCATATAAGACGTTAAAAATCTTTTAAATGTGGGAGGAATTAATCAAATTCAGTTTGCCTTTCGTAAGTTATTTGGCTACAGCTTTAACCCTTTAATGGGCCATTTATTTCTAGTAAAGGTAAAGTAAAGTATTTTTGGCATTGAATTGTTTCAAGAATAGTAATTGATACAGGAAAAAAAAAAAACTCATTTAGTTTATAAAAATGCTATTTTTTTGGTGATAAATAACACGACCTATTAGGAACTTATTAACTTTTATTTTTCTTTATTTATAAAATTTTTTTAATAAATGCTACCTACTTCAAAAGGAATTACGTATTTTGTAACTTTTATACGTCTTTTTAAACTAAAAAATGGTTGCCAATTTTATTCAAACGCACTTCAAGAAAGCTGAAGTTATTAACAGATGGAAACCTAAGTTAAAAGTGGTGGTAAGTATTCTTCCCAGTGCATTCGAAAGGGTTTTGAACATTCTAGGAAGATACTGATCAATGTAATATCAATAATATTAAACTAAATAAAACAATGAGCAGTAATGATAGAAATAGAAATATGTACAAGTAATTACAAACATGTACAGAATGAGAATTAAGTTGTGGAAATGAATTAGTATGATATAAACTACAAATAATTACAACAATTATTAGGAAATATTCACCGTGGTCTTCTGTTAATGCAGCGACCGGGCCAATCACCGTTCGCAACGGGTGAACGCGAAATGAAATGGTCACGCTAAAATTTTAACGTTTTGAGTGGCGTTTAATTTATAGGTGATAGTGGTACTTGAGAGGTACCTTTCCAGTGCAAAGGGGGAATCATACTTTGAATGGTGATGGCGCATTGATTTCATTGGCCAGTAATTGCATACTGCATTTCCTTGAAAAAAAAAAATATATCTATATATATTGTTTGCTATATCCATATCTGTTAAAATTAATTGTATGCAGTGATTGACAAAATTCTTCTGATTCTAATTTGTTAAAACTATAATTTACTACCTTTTTTTTTGCCACTAAGAAAATTGTTTTCGAAAACTACCGAAATTGGGGGGAATGTTACGGTGAAGNGGGGGGGGGCATGGTCTAAAGCCCATTAAACATCAACTTGTCAGGAAAATAAGTGACAAGCATGCAATTTCGTTGTGCTGACCATTTGTTACAAAATTGAAAAGTCTTTAACCTCAATATTCCCTTTCTTCAACCACTGGCAATTGCGAGATGTTTTACTTTTTTATGAACCATGCATTGTTTGTTTTCTTTCGAAAGAATTAAAATTATTAAAGCTTTTCCCGGAAAAGAAGCAATTAGAATAAATTTATAATTCAGGCTAGGATTTTTGAGGGACCCATGATCCAAAAAGTAATGTAAATAATTTAAATACCGGAAAAACTTGGATAAGAAAAAACTAAAACTGATTTTTCATTACCACTAGAAAAATTCCTCCCCCTCAAAAATAATAACGAGAAAAAAATACCAGCTATCTAATATGTGATTACTTTCTCTTCCGATTATTCTTAACTATCTTTTTATTTGTTATTTCATTACCATTATAAATCTCCTAAAATCATCTGATTACAATTTTAATAAAATTATAATTTCATTAAAATTGTAATTTTACTACTATTAGAAAAACGATAATCGTATATAAAATAGGCAGCTGTAATAACTTATTAAATTTACAAGCAAAAAACTTCAAAATTTCGGCGAATATAATCAAATTTAACAAACAAACAAATTAAATTCTAACAAACATTTAATAATTCTAACATTTAACAAATTAAATTCTAACAAACTTCGTCATAAAAATTTTTAAGAGAAAAAAAAGAACGAAGAAAAAAAAAAAATCAAAATTTCGGTGAAAATAATTATTTTTACCACAACGATACATAGAAAAATTGAATATATTTATTTACAAAAAGCGTAAAAGTCATGTAACTAATTGCAGTACCGGAAAATCTTGGGCAAAAAAAAAAAAAAAANAAAAAAAAAAAAAAAAAAAAAAAGAAAAAAAAAAACTGTTGTTTCATTATCATTAGAAAAATCCTCCCCTCTCTAAAGTAAAAAAAAGAGAAGAAAATAGCAGCTATGTAATCCACGATTACTTCCTCTTCCGGTATTCCCGAACTACTCCTTCATTTGTTAAAAAACTTCCAAATTTGGGAGAAAATAATCGAATTTATTTAAATTTTAACAAACCACGTAGTAAAATTTTCTAGGAGTTTTGTGGAGTAAAAAAAAGCGCGAAGAAAAAAATATAATGTGAGAATGAAATTCCAGAATGTTCCGAGATAAGTGACGCAATTAAGTGGACCCCACTGCGTGAACTTCATGGATAAATGATAAGGCAAAGTTTATTACCTCCTCAATCACCTTCAATTATCCATTTAATAAAATGTTGGTCATATAAAGACTATGATAATATGACCCATAAGTAAGCTAGTTAAAATCAAGTCAGATCAAGTGCACAATCCTAAACAATACATCACATAGCTTACATAACAGGTAAAGCAACATCTTACTGCCCCTCGTTTAGGGACCCCATTTCAAATACCCTCCCCTTTTTGAAAAGTAAAAATTGCCCAATGAAGACAGGAGGGCCGGTTTCGACCCCGCCTCTATCACCCTTCTACTGTTATCGTTTAGGGCCTATTCTGGTATGTTACTTCCCACTTTTTTTTTTAAATGTGGACCATCAGCTACTGCTTATACAGCAACTTGGCTTGTCATATTTAGCACGGTCTGCAATTGCTTCGTTTCGCGATTAGTACGCTGGTCTTAACTTCAGGTGCGACTAAACAGTGTTTACAAGTTTCTTTTTTGACTCTTTTTTATATCTCGAATTTTTTTTTATTGCATACTTCACATTACATTATGGCTATTTCATCTCATCTCAATATAAGGTCTTTATACCCAGGTTATCCATTTCAAGGTAAGATTGATTTCATCTGTTTATTGATTTAATTTAATATGACAGATTATATACCAGATTTTAATTTCATTTGCTTGGATTGTTTTTACTTGTCTCTTGTCTTTAGTTCAGGGTTTCCTTGTCCAAAGAAGGGGAAAAAAATGGTTGATAGATGATTGTTCATAGTTAAAATTTTTATGCCGATTTTTTCACTTTTTCGAATTAAAACATCAAACCTGCGAAATTTCTGACATGAAAAGCTTAGTGGAATAAGCAAGTGACGTTTCTGGGGTATATATTAATCGGGTAAAATAACATTAAGTGGTAGTTTCCATATGGGTATGTTTAACGTTTTTTGAAGAAACAGAATTGTTTTTGTTTTGACTTAGTGACTTAAACTAATCCACATTAGTTTTGAGTATACTTGCGGGAGTTTTATTTCAAATTAGTTAGAAATAATAAAGGGCAAATAAAAAAAAAGGCAAAGAATTATTAAGCCCATCCTTCTAATAAATATATAACAAAACAGTTAAGGTACCAATTTCATTCTTCTTACCCTGACTAGGGCCACTCTTAAAATGTCACTTACCTGGTTTTTCCACTAAGTTCTTCATTGTGATCAGTAAGGATAATTTTAAAAAATTCTGAAAAGAAATTTTTTTTTAATCACCGCTTTTTTTCCTCTTATCACGATTTTCCTGGCTTATTTTGTTTCAAACGTTTTGTGTTAATAATAGGTAAACTGAATTTGCTAAGATTATTTACTAAAATTGATTACGGTCTCTTTGTTTATTATTTAATATGATTATTATTTGCTAGGTTTGGTTAATACCCTTAGATACTTAAAAAAAAATTGTAACCTTTTTCTCTTCAAGGATTAGTTTCTGTGAGTGGGGGAGGCAAGTTGACATTCAGCGTAAAATGGAAAAAGTTGTATCAGAACTACTTCATAAAAACATTTATATCTGTGTTGGATGACAAAGCTTTTCTTTTACTTTTTGGCAAAGTACTTTGTTTGAACTACTATGACATGTTAGCAGTTTTAAGGATTATATTTTATTCTAAATATTAGCCACATTTGTGTCATCCTCTTTAGATTTTTTCCTTGATTGTTGCTAGCCTATGGCACGTATCCAATTTAACCTTATTAATGTGCGCTTTCAAACTTTGCTACAATGATGTTAAAAGTACCATTACCATTGGAGAAAAAAGTTTTTAAACCGAGAGGATATTTCAATCTGAAATCTACCATTTTCGCTTTAAAAAGGAATTGTTCTTTGATTTTAGATCTAAATATAATTACATACGTTACAGAGAGTACAGGGTTTTTTCAAATTTATTATGGTGGTATATAAATTTTGTTTTAAAACATATATCATATTTTTGAAAAGTTAAAATGAAGAATTCCTGACAATCACAATAATTCGATAAACACATATAAAGAGCTATGTTACGGATGGGTTTAAAATTTAGACCATCTAAATAATGGTTGCTAAACCGAATGGACTTCCACTGCTAAGTTGACTACCACTATAACAATTTCTAGGACCACTAGATGTTCTGATCCTGATATTATTAATAAATTATAATAAAAGAGTCTTTGCATCCACTGAATAAGTTCTAATGAGGAAGCACTCTGGACGCCACTTTTTCCTTTTTTTTAAACAGCTATTCCATTAAGAGTCCATTGAAAGATACCTATGGTTTACTTTTAACTTTAAGGTTTACTATAGGCCTACCTTAACCCAATTTTCTTTCATACTTCAAATTTTAAATTGCCAACGGAGGTGAAAGAATTAGGCATGAAAAATTTATCCAGCGGTCCTCTTAACTGTTACTTTCTAATATGGAGAGGGGGATACCTTGTACCATTACCACTTCTTCCTATCTAGAAGGTATTGTCATAACACATTGTATACAAGTAAATTTCTTTAAAAATTGCTTATCTCTCTTATGGCTCTTATCGATGAAAATTTAGGTAAGATAATATCAGAGCTTGCACAAAACTGTCGCTATAGCTGCAAAAAGCACCTTGTTAACTATTATGAAACTTTAATTTCAGATTCGATTCGGTCCCTTGAATCAAAAATCAATGTAATTATAATTATTCGAATGAAATAGATTTTTTTTAAAAATTTATTAATGTATAAGAATTACTGTAAAGTTAACGCAAAGGAACTTTTCTCACTCCATACTATTTGAAAATTGCTATAAATTTCAATAATTATATTTATTTTATTGTGATAAAGGGACAATGTACGAATAATACTTTTTTATCTAGTTTTTTTAAAAAAAAATTGTCAAAAATTAAAATGTTGTGTCTTTTTTCTTAATATTTTTAACTTATCAAAAGAGTAAGTCTCTGAGAGACAAATGCTTATTTAATTGATACAATATTTATATTGATATTGTTATATATTTATAATTGCATCAAAAATACGTAAAGGATTAAATGTTACTTTCATTCAACTTCAAACTCAACTTTGAGTTTAAATTTTTTTTTTCAAATTATCTAATGACGTTCGAAGATTTATTTAATTTAATTAAATTCAAGATAATTGATTTAATAATTAACTGATTTGATAATTAATTTATTGATTAATTGATGCATTAGTTATATTAATAATATTATACATTATATAACAACATTAATAATATATAAAAGATTAAAAGTTGATTTCACTCAACTTTAAACATAATTTTGTATTTTTAATTTGCTTAAAAAATAATATTTTTAACAAAAATAATAATATCTAATTACGTTTGAAGATTTATTTAATTACATTGAATTCAAGATGATTGATTTAATAATAATTTGATTGATTAATTGATAGTTTACTTAATTGCTCCATTATTTAAAATATGTGAAGGGTTAAAAGTTCCTTTCCTTCAAATTTAGCTTTGTATTAAGGTGCTTTTTTCCCCTGATTCTTCACGTGACGCACATGCAATGTAGAGTTTCTGAGGCAAATCAGTTACCCTGCTATTCACTAAATACACACATTTTAGAAAAGATTGATTTACAACTTGTGGGGTCTTCTGCTACTGGAACTTTGTACACGCCAGAAGGTGTGGGATTATGCCTCATTAGAAGTGTTCAAATTGAGGAAAAACACATTCACGGGTTCTGAAATGAGATTAGGATCAAGATTCTTAGAAAGTAATCTTAGAACAGGAAGTGAGTTCTATACTTTTGGACAGTGAGGAGCAAGATGACCCCCTTAGGAAGTCCATTTTGTGACTACCGATCTTCCTTGGGGTCCCTTTCTTAAAGATTTCTGATAAAATTTTTGAACATCTGTTAAAATTAAACCATTTATGCAACGAAAAACTACTCCTTGTTCTATAATACTATCTATATTAAAAGTGAACTTATTTGAAGATGAGTTTTAAAGATTAACAAAATTTATTAAGTATTTCATTTCAATACAATTTAAAACTCACTAGTTGAAAAGTATTATTTAAGTTGATTGTATAGTGAGTGTAATTATTGGAAGTTAGAAATTGTTAAAAAAATAAATTGTTAAAAAAATTATATTACACAAAATAATTCTTGCATAATTAATTTTTTAAATATATATAATGGTAGTCGGGTTTAAAGACAACATCACCTCGTGCTTAGATTACAATCTTATTAAAAAATCTCTTTTTTTCTTATCAAGTTTTCATACCAGCTAAAATCAAAAGTAAAATTACTAAATAAATTCAACTTAAAAATTGAAAACAATATTGTAACTAGTAACATAAGCAATTTGTAGCGAATAGAGTGCTTGAAGTGGATGATACATGCATTTCATCAGTTGCATTTTTAATAATTTCTTTTTCCCTTATAGGACAGTTTTTCTTGCGATCCTTATATTTTTTTAGACATTATTTTATCAATTTTGATTGATTTTTGTTTTTATTTTAAGAGCTTTTTTTTAGTGAATTAATATTTTTCTATATAAATTACCGCAAACTTAGCATTGAATTTCTCATTTTAAATATTTCCAATAAAACTACTACTAGTCTTACTATTGTAAGATTTTTTTTTACAATTGCTTTTGACTAAAGAAGTTTTTAGGATTATCGAAAAATATTCGATAATACAATGCAATTCTGATGTTCTTGCAGATTATTTAATCCGTATTTATCTTTTTCTTATATTTACTAACACTTCCATTCATAAATTACAAATTTATTTTAATCATTTATTTTTTTCGTTAAATTTATAAATTTAAGTCACGATTAATAGTTTTAAGAAAATCAAATATAAAGACGGTGTCAAAATTTAATGGGAATCATTTTTGATTTATAGGTCATTTTTAATGGTTTCTAGAAAGTTTTTTTATTTTTTTACTTCTTTGCATTTTTAAGAGCATTTTTTAAGAATTATGTAATCAACATCCTAGTCCTGGTTAATAAAAAGAGATAAAAAGATAGACACTTATTTAGAAATAAATTGGTACAAATAATTATGGAAATTAAAATACACTTTTTAAACTAATTTTTATGAAAATATATGCAGAAATTTTACCATCTTAAAGTAAATCTTTTTTTTACAAAATGTTTTAATTTTTTTTTAAGTGTAAAGCATATTTAAATTTTAATAAATTAAAACCAAATTATTATATTTCTTAAATAGCATAGTTTATTCTCCTTAAAATAATTTGCTAAATATTTATCCATTAAAAAAAAAAAAAATTCCTAAAAAGAATAATATAGTTTTTTGCCTTTGCTTCCTTAGCGGTCAAATGACTGACCCCTTTGGCAGATTATGACGCGCTGCTTACTGCGCTACCGAGGCACGACCCCTTTGGGTGAATGCCTAGAGTCGCGTCCCTTCGTTTCTGCACAGCGCAGATAACAGAAACAGAAAAGCTATTAGATCATAAATTGATAAAAAATTACATTAATAATTAAAAATAGTATTTTTTCCCCACTGTGTTTGCCAAAATTTTAGCCGAATGAAAATAAAGTAATAAATAAGAACATTTGACACAAATGCTTTGATCAATGCTTGCCTAAAGCTAAAAAAAATTTTTTTTTTACAAAGTGCAAAAGTTATTATAGTATTAAAAAAAACATTGATAGTCGATATACTAATATTGTTGTAACAATTAAAAAATTAAAAAAAAGGTCGTTTGTCTTAAAAATTGTATGGCTACATTTACTAAATGCAAGGATTAAAAAAAAATAATGAAACAAGTGGGTGTAATAATAAAAATCATATTTTAATGATTGTAAAAAAACAAAAACAAATTGTGAAATAATCGTGCTACTCATATTTATTTACATATTTGTGTTTTTTTGAAAAGTAATTAAGCTATTTTAATCAGAAGTATAACATTATTGAGAGTGGGAAAGAAATTAGTTTCATAACACTTGCTTCACATATCCTTTAAGTTCAAAAAACTTTTAACTTGCAATAAAAACAAGCATGAAATTAGTAGAAATTTATACAAATATATTTAAAAAGATAAGCGATGTAGTTTTTTTGATATAGTAACAAATAAATTTAACGAAATCTAAAATAAGGATAGGGTTTACTTCGTGTTACAGAAAAAGGACATACTTTACTTTCGGTTCTACAAGTAAGAGTCTTTTTTTTAAAAAGTTTTTCATTGTTTCAACAGATAATGCTTTGACACAAAAATTTCTTCAGTGTTTCGATTTAAAATTTGACTTTTAGTCGCTGCGAAAAGTGCTTGTTTATGAAACCGAAACTATAGTATGACAGTATGTGCTTTATTCTTATTATTTTGCTTTATTCAATACACCATGAGGTCATCTTGCATAAAGGTTTAATAAATAGGACATTTTTAAAAATTATAAACAGAAATATTAATTTTTAGTTATGATAATTTTCCTAAATTAGTAATGATGCATTTAGATTTAATAGCAATCTGAAAATAATTTACATAAGTTTTAGCTAAGTTGATAAAAAAGAAATAAATAAATAAAAAATAAATAAGAACTAACATGCAACGTGGAAAAAAAAATGTAGAAAAGGAGACAGGCTTTTTATTTTGGAATATGCGTGTTATCTTGTTTTCTTCACTATTTTTCTTACTTTTGACAGTCGCGTTAAATTTTATTCTTACAAGTCCTGACGGGTTTTACGGGCATTTTTAGTTATTTTACGAATTCGGTTTCGCTAAGCCATCGCACCATTGTAGATAAGCGTAGTAAGTAAGATTAGTATTCATGAATGTTTGCATATAACGGAAGCTTTAGGACTTAGTCAAAGGGATTAATCCGATATTTACTAATACGTTCATCAAATGAAAGTTTAGGAAAATATGATATTTTTGTTTCCTGCTCTATATTATAAATCCTATGATCAACAAAATCAGATTTTCTATTTCAAGGGCAAGGTCGGATGAATCAACTGGGTGGAGTGTTTATCAATGGACGACCTCTACCTAATCATGTCCGTCTAAAGATCGTAGAATTGGCCGCAGCCGGTGTCCGTCCTTGCGTCATCAGTCGACAGTTGAGAGTATCTCATGGATGTGTGTCCAAAATCTTAAATAGATATCAGGTAAAGTAAAACGCATATTTTTTGTTGTTTTATTTTTTGGCTGGATGTTTTGAAAAAACATATTTTACTGCAAATCTCTTTTAATGCAAGTAAAGCAAAGTGAACATTTTCAATATATTGGTGTTTGAATTTCATGAAAAAATTTTTATTGCAGTATTTTCGTTGCTTTCTTTTTCGTTGCTTTCTTTCGTTGCTTTCTTTTTCATGTTTATCTACAGTTGAGTAAACGATTGATTTTGGTTTGTTTTCACAAATGAAGTTTAAAATATATATACATCATGGAAATATTAAGATAGAGAAATGTTGTGAAAACCCTACAGTAGCTACTGATAATGAATTATCAGAAACTAAATTTTTAATATCAGCAAATTTTGCACATTTGTTTTCTAAAAAGTTAAAACTGTAAGCATATGTAATTTAATTTTTATTGTGATTGAAATCTATAATGGAACTGAACGCTCTCCCCATATCAGATAATAAGAGAATAGAAAAAAATTGCGCAATCTAAAAATATGCATTTTTTTATTGCAATAATTGTTCAATTAATGATGTCCAGCATCTTAGCATGTTTTTTAAAAGCCATTTATCTTTGAGAATTATTGCCAATTAATGACCTTAAATTAATTTAATTATTATCTTTTCAAAGTCGTTAAAATTCTTTTCATTGTTCTTTCATTCTTCTAAAGTTATTATATTCTACTCCAATCTTGTAAAAATTATTACACTGCTCACAATTTTATTTAATAAACCATTGTCTTTACAATAGCGTTATATTATTTCTGTACTAATTTTATTTTCATCATTATTTCTACTGTTATTATATTATTTTTTATTAGTTCTATTCATTTTATTATTTTTACATTAATTATTGCTTTTTCATTATTTTTTATATTAATTTTCATTTTTTCATTAGTTTCACACTGATTATATTTTTTATTATTATTCTTACCACAGTTAACGCCAGTATTTTACCCTAGAAGGATATTTTTTAAATAACTGTCTTTTTCCCTTGAATCAAAATATGAATTTAATTTTTTTTCTTTTGCAGGAAACAGGTAGTATTAGACCTGGTGTGATTGGAGGAAGCAAACCACGTGTTGCCACTCCTGAAGTTGAAAAGAAAATTGAGGAATATAAAAGAGATAATCCTGGTATTTTCAGCTGGGAAATCAAAGACAGACTAGTCAAGGTATGTATTATAATGCCGATTCAGTTGTAAGCAATAAACAGCACATTTAAGAATGAATTATGAAATTTTTTTTGCTAAATGGAAGTTGTGCGAAGCTCTTAATTGCTACCTAAGAATTCAGTTGATTCTGTACCTAACAGTACAATTTGATTCTTTCACAATTTAGATATTTTTATGACCATTAAGTAAGCAAAATAGAAAAAAATGATCTCACAATTAAACTTTAATCAACTCATGAAAAATTCAAGATGTATAAATCTATATCAATCGATTAAAAATAAGCATATATATTACTTAGATACCAAATTCACAAGCCGTGGGTTTTTTGAACCCGAACACTGTAAAAAATGTATACTCAAAACTCATTCAAATTTTTTTTTCCGTTACACTGAAAAATTATTATTTATAATTGCAAAAATATTACGTATTAAAATCTCAATTGGAATTATTTCTCATTAAGAGCAAATTTTAAGATTTAATAACTTGAATTTAATTTAATACTTTTAAAAATGTTTCATTTGTTTTGAGTGTAAATAAATGAAAAATGCCTAATTAAGAAATTGCTGTGTTGTCCACGAAATGTAGATAATTATGAAACCATTTTCAACAAAGTTTATTTTTATGATGATTAAACAAATACATAATTCTTTCTTATTATTTTTTTTCCAAGGATGGTATCTGTGATAAAGAATCAGTTCCGAGTGTCAGTTCCATCAGTCGTGTGCTCCGTGGTTCACGCCTTGGTTCAAGTGAATCTGGTGATTCATGTGACGGAAGCAAAAAGGCCGATCACAGCATCGATGGTATTTTGGGAGGTAAGTTTCCAGATTGATAACTTTAACGTATTTAAGTTTATTTTTCCTAACTTACTTACGTCAATTTCTGAATAAAATGTAAAAGGTCGTGGATAAAGTTTTAATTTTAACCTTGCGCAATATTATATACTGTCACTTTTAATTCACATTTAATAACAAATGGATTAAGGGAAACTTCTGAAATTTGGCTTGAAAATGTAGGCCTAGTGTTTACCAATTTGAATTAAATTGTCTAAGTGTATTTGAAAATCCAATAAATTTTACATTTCAAATAACACAAATCATTCTTATTTTTTTCTTTTTCATGTGACTGCTAGTTTGAATTTCCCCAATAACTAAGACTTTCGTTATAACCATGTAGTCTGAATGCCACAGAAATCCGCTTTTCATAATTTTTGTGAATGAGCTCAAAAAGACAAAATGTGTCCTAATGTGTAACTCCAAAAATAAGGATTCTTTTATTTCTTTTCTAAAAAAAGGAAAAATTAGGAAATCGAATGAATAAATTAAATTATTATTGAAGCTATAAAAGGAATTCCAACGTAATTATTGACACGATTATTCAAATAGTCCAGTCTATTGCTCTATGTGCTTAGAAGACACTAAAATAACATTTTTTTTCTCTTCTTGAATTCAACTTTTATTCTAAATTTTAACATTTTTCACGCGTTTCCTTTTTCCTTTTGTTTTTTAAGAAAATTTTAAAAATAAGGAATTTTTACGCATAACGTAAGCTTCATACTTTTCCACCTTCTTAGTCAGCAAAAATTATCGAATAACAACTTTCATTTCTTATTAGATGCTTACGTAGTACTTGAACAGCTCTTAGTATTAATTAGTACTTGATTGTTTAATGTTTAAGATAGTTGGAATATCGGTAATGGATCAGATTTATAAAGCAATGAAAATGTAAAAGAAGAAAATTACTAAAATAAGCATATTCAATGGATTATTGAGTAAAGTAAATAGACCTGATACAGGATAAATCTAAATAAACAGCCCACTAAAGCTTTGAGTGTTTGCTGAGGGGGTCGAATTGATACTGTGTTTGCGAAACACTCGTTGGAGTGTATCAAGGCCTCTTCCGCCGCATTGGTACTTCTCTTCTCTCGCAGTACTTTTTTTTAATCTGAAATAAACCAACTTTAACATAATATGAAGTGTGTTTTCATTTACAAAAAAATGGTTCAGAATATATAGGAATTTAAATAACATTAAAAGACTGCTAAGAATACATTGCCTTTGATAAAGGATATTGGAACGCACTATCCGAAGTCTATTTATTAGTTTGGGGCAATAAGTAGAAAAAAATATTTAGTGTAGACTAATTAACAAAGTAAAATAAAAATATATCGTGATATCGCAATAATAATAATTAATTTGAAAGTGTTATAGATAGGTCGAACATTGATATTTGATTGCCATATCAGAAGTCTGTTATTTAGAATAATAAATAAAAAAGCCCTTAGTGCAGACTAATTAACAAACATAAAGCAAAATAAGAAATTATCGCGATTATAAAAGCTAGTTTGAAAATTTTATGTATAGATAGAACATAGGTTCTGTATGTGTTAGTCTGTATCCAATCCACAAATTCAAGCATGTAGAATAGAACAATTATTAGGTTAAATAAAAAATAAGTTTTTAAAAAATGAAGCGCTCGTTAAAAAAAGTTAAAAATTTCTGATAAATTTTGTAAATCAATTCATTGAACAATGAAATTAAAAACAGTGTTCTTAACTTTTTCATAAAATCGAAAATAGTTCATTTTTAATTGGCTGGAATTCTAGTGCTCATCTGGGTCCTCATGCCCCTAGTCTGTTCCAGATCAACCATAGTGCCCCATATCATTCATTACAGTTTCACAAAAGTTGACACTAGCGAAGGAGTGACAATATGGAATGCGAAGAAAATATTTGTTCGATGCACTTGCATATTCGGCTCGAATAAAAGGCTTTTCAAAAAGTAGTGACGCTAGCGCTAAAATCTTCCAACAAAAGCTATGCCGCAATAATCTTAGAGAACAGTTGTTTTGCAAAACCACAAAATGTCCGAGTCGTAAGTTTTGGATGCTTTAACTGCGACGACATTTATTGCACTTCCTTTTTAAACTTTTATTACGATGTCGGTCAGAGGCTTGGGTGAAATCTCCTACTTTATTACTTGGCTGTTTGCTTAATCCCTCGTAATCCTTTGCAGAAATGATCTAAATCTGTTTGTGGCTAACAAATTTTTTTATGTGGGCTTTTATCGCGTTATGTACCTGAATTGACCACAGGTAAATGCATTATCACCTATTTAGCTTTATTACAAGGATATTTCGATTCGGTGAAATTTATCTTAAAGCAGTCTGTACTGCAGCATTTAACAATCTATTTACACAAGATATTTTTGTACGATGATTCATTACGGCAATGTTAAAAATTTTAAAGCCTTTAATATTGATTTATAAGTACCTGGATCCACTATAGGCAAATGCATTATCACCTATTGAGGTTTATTACAACGATATTTCGACTCAGTGGAATTTACCATAAAGAAGTCTTAACCGCAGCTGTTAACAACAATGTATTTATAGGGATTTTTGTAAGATGATTTATTACAGCTATTATGTAATGTTAAAATTTTGAAAGCTTTTATTTTTGATTAATAAGCCGGCATTAGGCAAGGGTTTATAAGGTAAATTTAATGATAAGTTTGAAACATTAGATATTAACCCTTTCGCGCCGTCTGTCACAAATACGTGCCAGCATAAAACCGTATCATTCAGGATAAAAAGATAAAACTGGTAATCAAAGTAATTCTTTAGCAGTTTATTTGTGGGCGGAGTTATAATTGCTTGATTTATTTAATTCACCATTACTTTGTTCAAAATAAAACTATTTAGTTATACTTTGAACTAACATTGATTATATATATGATTAAACTAACAATAATTAAAGTAAAAGCAAAGTAAATCTGTCAAATTAGCAACGACCACATTTAAGTTACCGTTTTTTATTTAATTACACATTGATTCTGATTTTATACGAATACTTTTCTGAATCACCCGTCCCCAAGGGGTTAATTGACATTGAGAGCAATTTTATCGCATTAAAATTATTATTTTCCCCATCTTATTTCATTTTCGGATCTCCTGCAATCACCACATAATAAATCAATCATTCAATACTAAAAGATCAAGAAATAAAATAATGTTATAGAATAAAGATTTATCGCTAAGATTTCCATTTAGTTAATATTTTTTTTCTAAAATTATTGATTGCAGCAATCCTATTTAATTTGTTTTACTGCATTTTAGCTAAATATAGATTAAAATTATCCTTAAATTTCTGTAATAAATTAAAATAGCGAATTTCAACGAAGTTGTTTAATTCTTTTATTTGTTTGTAATTATATTACTGTTAATTTGTTTATCTTTATTTGTAATATTGTTTATTTGTAAATAAAATTTAAGATTGTTAGATAGTTTAAAAATCAAAATGATTTTTCCGACGTGAGTTATAATAATTAGGATAAGAAAAAACCTTGTTGAAATGTAATGTATTTTTAAATAATAAATTTTTTACAGAGAATAAATTATTTTAACATTAACAAAGTTATGCGCATTAAAGTAAATGAAATAAGTAAAAATATTTGAAGTTTTAATTGTAATTATAATTAAAAATTTATAAAATCATAAAAGAATGCTTTTTATTTTTAATATTTTTTGATAATTTTAAAATATAATCTTGTTTCGCGTAAATAATTCCCGAAATTGTGAATTATTTTAAGTCAATATATAAATGACTATGTATATATAAATAAATATTGTCAATTTATTAAAATCCATTTTGAGCCAATAGCTAACATGTAAATTAATAACAAATTTTTGAAAGTTTTTTGCTAATTTATTTTTTAGCTGGTCGATTTTTTCTTCTAAATTTTCAAATAGGTTTGTATAGGCCTAAAAGAAATGAACGAAAAGTAATTAAATTATATTAATAAAAGCAAAATTATTTCATAAGAAATAATAAAATCCTAATATCTTGATCTTATAATGAACTATAGTAACAAAGCTTTGCAGAGTAGCTGAATATTAAAAATAAGTAAGCAAACACTGATTATGTTTAGTAATATTTATTAAGTAATTTTGAAGCTTTTATTGCTGTTATAGTTCTGAATTTTTAAAAGAATCTAAATTAATGCAGCAAAAAATATTCAATAACTATCATAGTGTTTTAACCCAAATGTTTGGTAGTGTAATATTTTATTCGTGAAATACAGAAACTATAAATAAAAATAAAAATAATCTTGTTTAGTTTGGACCATATATGGGATAAACGTAAGAAGTGAATAAATTTTATTAGGAGAAAATTTTTTTATGAAAAATCCTCTGATAATGAAAAAAAAATCCATTTATTTTTAATGATGATTTATCTGCACATATCTGATGCTTTTGATTCTTTAAAAACGTTCATTAATTAAAATATTTGAGTTTAAGTCAATAAAAAGCAGGTTTTAAATTACACAACAATAATAGGTTCTAAAGAAATACTGAAAAAATTAAAGAAGGGTTGCAAGTTGAGGAAAGAGATAATTAACTTGAATTTATCGTTTTGATTATAGCGTTAAATTTAAAAAGGAAATTTGCATGAAAAACAATTTTTATTAATCAGGATTGTGTTAATACTATAAAATGAAATAATTAAAAATATTTCTGACATTTTCTTCAATAATTTTAAAAAAGGCAAAAATGTGACGCGTTATTCAGTATTTTTTTCTACAAATAAATGATGGCACGATTAAATAGCTCATTTTTGTCAGATATCTTGTTCATTTTATCAGTTGAAAGTTTTGCTAATTTTAAAAAGGTTAAAAAAATGTAACATGTTACTGTCTCGCATTGAGACTTTTTATTTATTATTATTATTAATTTTTTGAAAATAAATGATAGCACAATTGAATGTCTAATTTTTGTCGTGTACATATTTCTAATGACTTTTCTTCACTTCAACCAA